GAAGGGAAAAGGGGAAATATGTAATACTTTCAACAATAAAGAATTATTTTTTTAAAAAATGTGACTGTATCTGGAAGTGATTAAATGATGATTAAGTTAAAATGGGGTCCTGAGTCCCAGCTGGTTTGGCTCAGTGGATAAAGCATCGGCCTGCGGACTGAAGGCCCCTGGGTTCAATTCCAGTCAAGGGCACATGCCCAGGTTTCAGGCTCAATCCCCAGTGAGGGGCATGCAGGAGGCAGCCGGTCAATGATTCTTTCTCATCATTGTTGGTTCTATCTCTCTCTCCCTCTTCCTTCCTCTCTGAAATCAATAAAAATAAATAAATAGGTTGAGTGTCAACCCATGAGCCAAGGGGCCCCCTTGTTCAATCCCTAGTCAGGGCACATGCCCAGGTGGAGGGCTTGATTCCCACTAGGGGTGTGTGGGAGGTAGCCAATAGATATCTCTCTCATCAATGTTTCTATCTCTCTATCCCTCTCCCTTCCTTCCTCTCTAAAATCATAAAAATGGCCCTAGCTGGTAATGCTCAGTGGATAGAGCGTCAGCCTGTGGACCAAAGGGTCCCGGGTTCGATTCCGGCCAAGGGCACATGCCTGGGTTTCGGGCTCGGGCCCCAGTAGGGGGCATGCAGGAGACAGCCAATCAAAGATTCTCTCTCATCATTGATGTTTCTATCTCTCTCTCCCTCTCCCTTCCTCTTTGAAATCAATAAAAATATATTTTAAAAATAAATAAAATCAATAAAAATGTATTTTTAAAAAGGAGAAGAAATTTGGACACACAGAGGGACACCGGGGCACACGCACACACTGAGGACAGAGAGAAGATGCCCATCTGCAAGGCAGGGAGGCCTAAGAACGAACCAGCCACGCAAATCCACAGACAGAACATGGATTCGTGGTTGCCAGGGGCTGGAGAACTGGGGAAGGGGGGCTGACTGGTAATGAGGATGGGACTTATTTTGGGGGAAGGATAAAATATTCTAAAATTTATTGTATTCTAAAGTGGATGGTTGCACAGCCCTGTGAAGATGTAAAATATATATATATAGTGTACACAACATATTAAACAGGTAAGTTGTATGGTATGTTAACTCTATCTCAATAAAGCTGTCTAAAAATCCTTTAGAACTTATTTTTAAAAATCCAATGTGACTTTTGCTTAATTCAGCAGCATTTTCAATGTGTGTGATTTTAATAAATATATCAATGCCCATTTGCTTATTAACAGCACATCATTATCATGCTAATCAATTAGGTATATGTTTTAATAGGACACTAAATGTTAGTTCATTCAACAAATGTTTATTGGAGCCGGCTGGCCTGGCTCAGTGGTTAAGCGTCAACCTATGAACCAGGAGATCACTGTTCGATTCGTGGTCAGGGCACATGCCAGGGTTGCAGGCTCAATCCCCAGTAGGGGGCATGCAGGAGGCAACCGATCCGTGATCCTCTCTCATCATTGATGTTTCTGTCTATCCTTCCTTCCTCTCTGAAATCAATAAAAATATATATGTTTTAAATGTTTATTGGATATGTAGTATATGGATTGACAAACTATGGCCCATGGGCCAAATCCAGCCTACTGCATGTTTTTTTGTACAGCCCTTGAAATAAGAATGACTTTACATTTTTAAATAATTGTGGGGGGGGGGAACAGCCCTTGAAATAAGAATGACTTTACATTTTTTAATAATTCGGGGGGGTGGTTATATTTTACTAGAGGCTTGATGCATGAAATTCGTGCAAGGGGCTTGGCCCTCGAAGCCCCTTGAGCAAATTCGTGCAAGGGGCTTGGCCCTCGAAGCCCCTCGAAGCCCCTCGAAGCCCCTCGCAGCCCTGGCTTCGTCCAGAAGGTCATCTGGACGATCGAACTAGGGACCGTTCACAGGCCAATGCTCTATCCACTGAGCCAAACCGGTTAGGCTATAAATAAAGTTTTATTGGCACAAAGCCACACCCATGTGGCTGCTTTCAAAGTACGAAGGCAGAGCTGAGTAGCTGTGACAGAGATCCTCTAGTCTGCAAGGCCAGAAATAATTACTTTCTGTCCCTTTGCAGAAAATGTCTGCTGACTGGGGTGGTGCGTGCAAGGTCTGGAGTGGAGAGCCACGGAGAGAGGCAGCCTCAGGGACAGGCTGTGACCGAGGTCACCGTGTCCTGGAGAACAGGTGGGAGCTGGAGCAGGATCAGGAGGAAGCACCTGGCGGGCCGGCCAAGCCTTGCCCCTTGCACAGGCACGGAGCAGATCTGCCTGTCACTGGGCCCAAAATAGTGTGGGACGAGACAGGGACATGGGAGAGGTGGTTCTGGGGCAGCCAGGGCCCTGCCTGGCCACCCAGACACCTCGGTCATTATGAGAACAGTAGCAATAGGGTGACCAACTCAAAAAGTCAGAAGACAAGTACTGGGGAGGATGTGGAGGAATTTGGAACCCTCATTCACTGCTGATGGGGATAAAAAATGGGGGTAGCTGCTATGGAAAAGAGTGTGGAGGTTTCTCAAAAAATGAAATATAGGATTACCATTTGACCCAACAATTCCACTTCTGGGTGGAATTAGAAGAATTAAAGGTCTCAAACAGATATGTGCGCACCCTCGTCCATAACAGCATTATTCACAATAGCCAAGAGGAGGAAAACCCAAATAGCCATCAACAGATGAATGGACAAACACAATATTATTTAGCCTTAGGAAGGAAGAAAATTCTGTAAAAGTTAGAGGTTTGTAAGGAAAATGTTAAAAAGAAGTTATATAAATGACACCAGGACAAGGACGAAATAGGGAAACAGATGGTTAAACAGCAGTTTGCTGCCATCTAGAAAATCTAGATGCCAAGCGGTCCCCAGCCATCGAGTAAATCCTATCTTCCCTAAACCAGGGACACTTCTCCTCCCCAGCCAGAGGGTAAATAGCTTAAGTCAGCGGTCGCCAACCTTTCGGACCTCACCAGTGGCCCAAGGACCACCAGTTGGTGACCGCTGGCTTAAATCACCCTACTCAGGGAGACAGGCAGCAGAAATCCAATTAGTGTCATTTGTTAACCCCACCCAAGGACAAATGACGTTATATCAGCATAAAGCTGATGAATTGTATTGAGATCCTCCCCTAAGCACCCAGTCTTTAAAACCCCTCAAAATGAAGGCCCAGCATACACTCTCCTGAAAAATAAATTTAATTAAATG